TTTCCTAGAGGCAATGTAATCTAAGAATAATGGCACACGTGTTAATGCAATTAATAAGGCTGTTTATGACCTCAGGTGTCTTTCTTAGAAATTTCGGCACCTCAATAGCTTAGTTTTGTAAGGTGATTATAAAAACAATTACACTTAAGTACGTTGCTGATGTCTAAATATGTGTGAGAGTGGCTGTTGCGTTATAAAGAGTGAATTAAATTATGGGTTTTGTGTTAAAACAAATAAATTTAACTAATTTTACGTTGTAGAAAGTTGTTTTCGTTATAACGGGTTTACACTGTAACAACAATAATCTTACCTAATGAAAACATTTAAACTTCCATATATGTTACGAGGAAATTCCATTAGCATACTTTATGAAGTAACAAAAGCTAAAAATAACGTAAATGAATAAGCGTTTGAACAATAAACGCTAGTAAACAGCGAACATTGTTATTCATTAGTGACACAATTAACTTCATTCATAAACGTAACACATTCATAAGAAAAGCATTCGTTCATTTTGTTCCTGAGCCTAAAAATAGTTATGAACGCAACACTAATGTTTATGTCAATAATACTAATGACAATTATTTTTGATCGCTCGGCTAAAATTAATATCAACGCCGTATATTAGCTTCTAAAAATTACTGCGGTTGAGGTACGGTATATAATATACTAAATTATTATTATTAGCAGCAGCACACAGCCAAAAAATTTTGATTAAACTACAATAAGTTCTGTAGCGAGCTTTCCCACTATTGGTGAAAACTACAAAAATCCGGCCGGTAGTTAAGAGTTTATCGCGTTCATACGGAGATAGCCGGACAATTCTACTTTATATAAAAAGGATATCGCATTCACGCCATACAAAACAAAAAAATATCAATCTAACATTAATCTTTATATATATAATTCTATTGTAAGAGTGTATGTCACTGAACTCCTCTTAAACGGCTGGATCGATTTGAATGAATTTTCGGAGTCTCGGATAGCTTAATTGGTAGAGCTCTCTCAAACGATCTGGGTTCGATTCCCAGTCTGAGCCGTCCGAATTATTTTACGTTTGCCGAAAAAGATTTCCGTATAATAAAATTACTATATTATTTATCTTTCATTACATACTCTGTTTTATATCCTAATCGCTTGACATATCATGCAGGACAACGTCTGTCGGGTCCGCTTGTATGTATATAATATTATATATGTATAAATACCTATAGAACAAACGTTTTGAAACTCGTAACAAATGTCATATTATAACGTACTAAAACTGTATACTTCAGCAAGTAAAAAGCCAGGCGATATTTCAAAACATGACCCTCAACCCTAGTGCACCGCTATTGTTATTTAAAAATGACCCATCTCAATGTCGAAGTCTTCCACGAAGCGGCCCAACTTAAGCGCCTTTGAACGCTTATAAAGGCTTATTTCTGACACCTCCAATGAAACATGGCAGCTACATAAAAACTTCCTCCGAACCTCTGATTTGTTACGATCGTTTTTATTCGTGTTATTTTTGTTAATACCTTCATAAAATACGATTATGTACAGATATAAACGCGTTATCTACAAAAACATAATCGACGATACTTCAAAATGACCTAAAGGCTAGATGTAAATATGTCAGATGCAGTAAATTTTGAATACATTTTTTTCGTTATTATCGTATTGGCTCAGGATAGTAAGGATAGTGTATGTAAAAGTGTTACTGTAAAAGCTCGAACTGCAGTAAATCCTAAGATATTCCAGTAAAACCTAAGATCTACCAATTCCTAATGGTAAATGTCCCAAAAGGTTTGCGATTCGAACTCTTACCACTATTCCGTTGGTAAATCTTAGGATTTACATTAATGGCACGGTAAATGTTGAAAACCAAAAATAATTATTAAGTTAGACTAGCTTATGTAAGCATTATGTTTGTATTTCGTTGTTAAATTCCAAATAGAGAACTACTGATTCAGTTAGATAGATATGATAGAGATTGAGATATTCAGAGACATACGTTATGTGTTTTTTCAAAATAATTTAATATAAGTTGGTATTAGTTTGTACTTATTACTATAATATGATACCTTTATAATACTATGTACCTGTTTTGTCTAATAGTACATTAAAGTAAATAATTAAGAATGACTCATTGTTTTATTCCTAAAACCAACATCTACCAGGTGACAGTGGTAAAACCTAGCATATACTGAATTCGAATGGTAAAAGCTCGAAAAAATCGTCGTATTTTCAGAAATACTTACATTTACTAACTCATGTCGGTAAATCCTAAGATTTACACTTAAATCCTAAGATTTACACTTAAATCTTAAGATTAACCGTAGTTCGAACTTTTACAGTAACATATATACTTTTGTGAATAAATAAAACAAATATTGTGCAAGCTCTCCCCCGTGATCTCACTCACATTTTTAAAAAGTATAGTATCTCATAAGCTATTCATATTGAAGTCATTGTTTTACAGCACACAACGAAAGCTCTCAAAAATATTTTACGTAGTTCACTTTTATGCGTTGATCCTTCCCGATAAATTAACAAGCCAACACGGAAATATTTTTTTAAACAAGTAGTTCCTGAGATTTGCGCGATCAAACAACCAAAGCTTTATAATACATGTATAAGATTTTATTAGATAAAATTTTTAAAAATATAATTTTAATAACTATAATCATTGCGAACGCAAATACGGTGTTTGAAATAATTACCATTAAAATAATATGTCTGATAGTGATCATAAAAATATTGGATAAATATTCTTTAATGCAATTTTTTAATATATGGATTCTTGGATGATTTATAGATTTTTTTTGACGTGACAACGTCTTATAATTCGATGGAGCCGGCTGCACGCACGAAAAAACATGACTCATGCGGCGTTACCTCGCTCTGAGGCGTTACCTCGCTCTGAGGCGTTACCTCTCTCTGAGGCGTTACCTCGCTCTGAGGCGTTACATTTAAAATTGACATAATTGTATTTATGCGTACAAATAAATGTAACTTGATCAATTCAATTGTGATTTCCATTTACCTCCTTCTCTATATCCATACAAAATACCTATCAAACAAATAAAATTTAATATTTTTTTTTGAAAAATGCAACCATCCCATCAATATTTTTGTATGACGTTGTCACGTTCAACTATCGTCAGTAAACCGACTTTACAGACAACCGATTTTTTTGTCTATATTATGTTTATGAGATTATTTTAAGAAAAAAGGTTTGACCTTATTTAAACTAATAAAAAAGTAATGTATATCACACTATATCAAAAATATTGTTTTAAAATTATTACACAAATCTTTCACACTACATAATTGTCAGATTAGTACAGTTTTGCATTACATTAGTAGATAAAGATTGCGTTTTTTATTGAAGTGCCAGTGGATATACTTTTGCTTAATTATAAGCATTGACATTATTCATATTTTTAAATGATTCTAGTAGAAACAATATGCTATAAATAAATAATATTTTTAATAATAATTGACTCAGTTTACAAAGGAGTTAATGGACTTTATTTTAATTAACTTCTAATGAATATCTGCCTTACTGCAAAATAAGCTAAAAGATGATTTAACTTGCTAACAAATACAATATGAATAATTATGTAATGCTCAGCACTGGCAATGATAATAACGGAACACAATAATTAATATAACCACCGGCAACAGAGTTGCGAGCGTTCTGGTATTGTGAGTGTCATGACTTAACATCAGATGAGCCTTCTGTCTATCTAACAGGGGGACCTGTTCTTAAAAAAAACAATATTTTGACCACTGTACATCATATAAACTATGATTAGCATATTCTATTGTAATTCTACAATATAAAAAAAATACTTATAATGCTTTGCACAAGCAATTAATTTAAAAAGCATTAAACCTAATACTAATTGTTGATGCTTGCTATTTTATTGGGTCTTATCAAAAGACTGATATAGTCTTCATTCATAACTTAAGAGTGTGATGCAGGTCATATTTAACTTCATCTCTGAATTTGAAGCATCAATATTTATCTTATTATAGTATATGCAACACTAAATTCTTGTTAATAGTTATTTTCTCTTCTAAAACAACTAATAATACAACAAGTTTTCGTTCTAGACAATGATTGGTTGTACGCGATAACACCAGATTTTTAAACCCCTTATGAAACAGTCGCTATTATACGCCTAAGCAGCAGAAAAGCAATAAAAATAGAATAAATTTCTATCATGTTGTTATCTGATAGGTAGGTAAAAATTCTTGTCATCTGCTACAACCCCTATTTTTAAATTGCAAATATATGTATAAGATATAGCAATTGATTTAAAAAGTTTAGATCTCAGATTTACTAAACAGACACTTACCCATTTTGTTAAAATTTTGATGAAAACACGAAAATTTATTTCAAAACACAATCACTACAAAACATTACACAAAAGCGGCCATCTTACTAAGTTTTTCAGGGTTGCAAGAACCAAAATTTAATTTAACAGCTGCGATTATTTATATACCGTCGATGTAGTATACAAGTGGTTGGTCATTAATGTAAAAAATAGACCTGTTATTTTCGAAACCTTATAAATTCATCTTTAATATAAGATGGGTTTATTTTGAGTAATTGTATATATGTATATATAAATTAATATTTTATTTTATTTAAATATGTTATATGAAATATAGTAGTAGGTATAAATAATTATAGTTATTTTTAATTTAATATAAAATAATTAATAAATTAATAGACTGTTACATTTATCAAAATAATAATAAAATATGACGTTTACTTTATCAACATATTAACTCGACAGCTGACAACTGCCAGGGCTGCCATTAGGTGTATATAGAAAATTGTTTTCCTTTTCTTGTCATCAGCTGTCAAATAGGTACGGGTATTGTGTAAAATAAAATAAATCTATTGGAATCACAATAAATTTAATGAAATTATATTCGGCGTATGGTGAAATAAGTTTATTTACTAGTGTTTAGTATAATTTCTTTCATATTTCAGCTTCAAAATGGTACAGCGTCTAACGTTTAGACGACGATTGTCGTACAATACCAAATCAAACCAGAGGAGAATGTAAGTAAAATTGATAATATATTTGATTATTACGAGTAGTGAATAAGTAAATTAATACCCTAAACGCATTTTCAAAAACAATCAACATTAACCACTCTAGTTTACCACAACATAACCTAGTATCCTAAAGCCTTGTTTCTAACCTTATTCTTTGAACTTGATTTTGTATTACTAAATTAATACTACAACGATTAATTCATTTTTCTAAGTGTTAGCCTTAATAATACTGCGATTGCATTACTTTATATAATTTACACAATTAGTTGTTTACTACATACGCGATATCGTAGTGGTCTATACGAAATTCAAAATTAAAGTGTTTACTTCAAATTCTTGTAGTCCTACAAGGTTTCTAATGAATGTATAAAGAAAAATTGGATGTGTTAGAATACATATTTATTTGCTTTTTAGTGTATGCTTAAGTGGTTCAAAATCTTATATTATTTAATGATTTAAGACTTAGTAACAAAGCTGCTGACTGTTTACATATTTTGATTAGCAATGTGGTTAGGTTTGTCAGTGTTATTTAGTTCATAGCATATAATTCAAGATAACATAGAACTCCCTCTAAAGGTAACACAACAAGCATATTTGTTGTTGGGCTAAGAATATGCATTATTGATGAGAACTAGTTATGTTAAGTGTCGCACTTATAATGTCATGTTAGAAAGCATAGAAAGAGCATTAATAGCAAATTTTATCATTAAGACATCTTAGGTACTTAGTGTCTTAATCTTTTTATATTACTATTACAAAATAATATTATTTGATATTTTTCAGAGTACGAACACCTGGTGGACGCCTTGTTTATCAGTATGTCAAGAAGCCCAAGAAGATCCCAAGATGTGGTCAGTGCAAAAGCAAACTCAGAGGTATTCAACCTGCTCGCCCAGCTGAGCGTTCCAGACTTTGCTACCGCAAAAAAACAGTCAAGCGTGTATATGGTGGTGTACTCTGTCACAAATGTGTAAAGCAACGCATTGTTAGAGCATTCCTCATTGAAGAACAGAAGATTGTTAAGGTTCTTAAAGCACAGCAAGCCACAGCAAGAGTTGGAAAAAAGCCTGCGAAATGAGGGAATCTGTAAATTATAATAAGTAAAAACTCTAAAAGTGTTTTATTTAAAATAATTTTACATGAATTTTACCTTTATAAATAAGTATTTATAATAAGTTTTTTATGATAAAGATATAGGAGCAATATTCTAACACTTAGTTGTAATTACTATATAGAATAAAACATCATCAGTAATATTTGTAGCTAAGAATAGTTCAAGTAATATATGAAGAGATATGGAAGTTACTTGTATTTAGGGAAATTCAGGATGTCTATTTGTTATTATATGTATCTTAAGCGGTGAAACATATTGGTGGCTATGATGACCTTAGTACTAAGCAAGTAGCTGATACCATATCTATAAAATTTACTTGAATTAACTCTTAAAGTTTATATGCATATTTGTCACAAACAACATATTTATTAATAAGCATTTAATAAACACCAATTGTAGGAAATGTATAAAATATCAACAGAACCATCTAGGACCTTCACATACAAGTACATATACAATTATCTTATTAAAGTAGTATTTAAAAAAATGCCTTAGAAATTTTAAATTATATGGGCATGAAAACGTTCTTGCTAATTATACCTTATAAATGTGCCTATTAAATTGCTAGGACTGGACATTGACATTATTAAATACACATTTTCAAAAGAAAAGTTTCGAAATCCAATATAAAATGCAACATTGAAATGCTGATTAATAGTACTTATTATTACATTTCTAGTAGGTACACATGTATTATTTTCAAACCTTCAATCGTAGAGTATTATATACCGAGTAACTAAATTTTATTACAGAAAGAAAACAAGTAAAATTCAGTACGGTCATACCGCCAGCCGTTATATTCAAAGTCTTTTGAGCGCTCGGCAAAATTATCGCCACAATTTTCATATTACTCCTATCGAAATTTTCCCAATTGCAATCATAAACGGCTTTTTCGAACATACATGATGCATCCATCAATTTTTGTCCAGCTAGACTTTCTATAAATATCAACACAAACGTACATGTCATTTGTAGATAAGTGTTTTCGATGCCACCTAACAATTCAGTTACAATTGAAAATATAATGCACATTAATTCTATGGCTTTTGTAACACGAAATACATCTTCAAACTCTTTAATAATACTAACGTTATGTATATGAAATAGAACTATATCCTTCAAACATTCGTTCGTAAAAATGTTCTTAATTTTGTTCTTCGTAACATCGTCTTGAATATACGATAATGCATGAGTTTTCCAAAAGGATTCGGCGTTTTTCCATAAGTTTTGAAGCTCAATACTGAGGGTTATCATTTGTGCCTCGACATATCCAAGAATAACCAAATTAAGTGCTGTCACATTAGCCAGGAAAAGAGCGCAGATATATACGCAAATGCCCATCACGACGTAAGAAATTTCGAAATTCGGCGATTCAAACATTGGCTCCAAACCTAAAAATCGTAAAAACACTAAGAAATCCGTTTTATACTGTTTAAGTGAAATCAATGATGTTGCCTACCATATATTACTTGATTGTCCTCTGGTAGATGTCGTCCTGGCATGGCTAATGGCAGCAGTCCATAAAAAACTGCATTTATGGTGATGGCCAGCCACACAATCGAAGCACGTTTTTTTATGTGCTTCAAATGACTGTATAGGTTTTTCGAAAATATTGTTCCAGGCTTTACTAGATTGTTGAATTGTAGGCAGCTATGGATCAGATTTTGCACTCTTTTCCTGTGGTGAGAATTATATAATAGTATCTAATTACGAACATGTTATACAGGTGAGGGGATTTATCACCTCTGACTACTTGAGAAAATACTATAATAATAACATTTGAGCTAGAGTAGACATTAGTGATAAATATTTGCGTAGGGTATATTTACGCGATTATGCAAACCTATCGTTTTTGCTATTAATTTACTACAGGCGCATAATAAATTGTTATATACATATATCGTGCTAATTTTTATTTAAAAAATACCCTTAATCGATCAATTCACCTTGTTTAAGAAAACTTATTATAGAATATTTTTCTATATATTATTTACTAATTGTTCTAATTTTCTTCTTATTTTTTTTTTCTTGACTAGCTCTGGTTATGTCGATATTTATTAGGAAAAATAGATATAACTAGATTTAGCTATAACTTAACAGATTTAAAAAAAAATCCTAATTCGAGGTCATTGAGGTGATAACTACGTATGATACTTACTTATAAATAATTATATAAAACATTGTCACAAATGAGGGCTGACTGCATACTAAAAGAGAAAACATGACACAGGCTGTTATGAAATCCTCTGTTTGAGGATACTGGACCAGTACGAACCAAAACATCGAAAACACATACGCATAATAATAGCATATTATGCTCAATACCCATATAAGCCGAATTATTATGTTGATAGCTGTAAAAAAATAATTCATTAATCTTTACAGTAACTGCCCATAAAATAAAAACCTAAAAAGAAATAATTATTTGATAAAATCTGGAAAAATTTCTTGTGTAAGTAACAGATTCTGTTTTTGGTTTTAAATGTCGACTAATTAATATGATTAATAATTATAGGTACTTGGTGACTCACGGCGATCATTGTTCTTATTAATCTTAACGTTAGAGATTCTTAACAAAAAATCGAGATTTTCAAACATTGTAGATAAATCGCAGTAATTTAAATTGAATTTACGAAGTGTGTCCATTTTTAAGTATCTCTGAGCAGTATTGGAATAACACTTAAAAGCTAACCAATATACTACCTATCTAAAGAATTTTACGAACATATAATTTACAAATTCGTGTAATTAAATAAATCTAAATTGAGGATAATTACTACAAATTTAAGGAGATAAAATAAAAAAGAAACCAATGAATACTGTAAAGTCGTTTTATTTTCTTACCAATATTTAAATTTTTGTATATTTGTATTGAATAATCTTAAAAAATACAGATTATTTTAAACACTTGGTGACCTAAAGAAGACAACACAACCAACAAGTAAGTGCTATATATTTTTTATTTTATTTATTTATTTTTACTTCATTTACATTAAAATAAAAACAAATAACATAAATTATGAGTAATGCAACGGGCCGGGCGGCCTTATTCCTAACAAGCTATCTCTTCCTGGCTACCCTAGTAAGGTAAAAAAACTAAAAATAAAGAAATACTAAGTGTAAAGTGCAAGAAGTGCATAACAAAACCAAAAAAAATAAAAAATTATAAAAATACCAAACAATCTAAAATAAAATAAACTAAAAACTAATCTCACGGTTCGTTGATACAATGCAATAGAATAAGAAAATACATTAATTAAAAAAGTCACGATTGAGCAGCCCAGGATATTATTAGGAAGTGTAGAAGACTTTTAAATGAGGTAAGAGAAGTAACCAATCGTATGGAGTCGGGGAGCGTATTACACAACTTAACCGCGGAGATCCTAAACGAATTGTCTAACCCAAAATACCCCTGAGTTTGGGGATAAAAACATATCTAATATATAAAATTCTCGTGTCACAGTTTTCGTTGCCATACTCCTCCGAAACGGCTTGACCGATTCTCATGAAATTTTGTGTGCTTATTGGGTATGTCTGAAAATCGGACATCTATTTTTTTAATTTTTAGATAAATTACTTAATATTTATTTTTTTATGATACAACATTAAAAAATATATACAACCCCTAATTTTCACCCCTCTACGATCAACCCCTATTTTTTATTATAAATGATATATGTACATGGCAAAATGACGTTTGCCAGTTAAGCTAGTTAGGGGGCGTCCATAAATTACGTGAGGTGTTTAAGGGGGGGAGGGGGTCGAGTCAAATCTCATTTAATCTTACGTTGGAGAGAGGGGGGTCTCGGCAAATATCACGCAATTTTTTTTTTATTAAAAAAAACTTAGAAAAACGGTTGACTCTAAAGGTCATATCTGCAACTTCCCGCTAACTCCATACCTAAACGCTCAACATTTCACTTATTTTGTTTTAGTCGTAAATAAAAGCACGAAGCAATTTTTTTTTCTTTTTACAATAACAATCCAACGCGTTAACGTAAGAAACCCACATTTTGAAAAATCTCACGTGAGATTGGCGGATGGGGGAGGGGGTTGAATAAAATCTCACGACATCTCACCAGGGGGAGGGAGGTACAGAAAATTAAAAAAACACCTCACGTAATTTATGGACGCCCCCTTAGGTATATAAGTTTAAAGAGATGAGCGTCACGTCTGAGTCGAATAGGTAGCCTATCCTATCCTAGCTGCCTGCAAAATTTAGACACATGGTCATATTTCCTAAGACTAAATATAAAACGAATTCAGAAATTCAGAGACCAGGTGTATGATTCCCCACAATCGAGTATAGGAAGCTGAAGAGATTGCGCTGTGCGGATAGGCATAAACTAGGAAGACGTCTTTAGAAGCGGTGAATAATTTACGTGATAGCTAGTAGTGTTGGATACAGTTTTTTCTCATATCTATTACGATGTTTACACAAAATACGCGACGGTATTCGTCGCGCAACCGACATTACTACCTAAATAACTAATCTGTGGTTCTCTGCTTACTAAGGAGCATATTCTAGGGGAGAGTATTTAAGAAACGATACAGTGTCGTAGTGTGTATAAAATTTAGTTTTTTTTCTGGTTATTAGTCTACGAAGTTCAATTAGAAATAATTGACATTCATGTAGATTAAGAAAATAATAAATAATTTATGTTTAAGTATATAATATTATTTAAGTAAATTTAAATATTATCCCTTTTTTATTGACACTTCTGTCTGTACAGAGTCATGAGTAACAAACATGACGTGCATTATTTGGTTTTCACTTTATATTAAAGATCTGTGCAAAAATGTGTCAGTACTCAGTACTCAGTATAAAGCGATGCCTTGATTTTTGGGGGTTTTCCCCCAAAATTAGGGGCAATCTAGATGTCCAGGGGGATTTTTAAAAGTGTACTTTATTGAAGAAAAACCAATTTTTGTTTTATAAAACCATACACTTCTATACAATTAATATTAAGCCTCGAACCCAACCAACAAACTAAGCCATATACAAACTCCAAGCGTGGCTGTAATTCAAATATCAAAAACCTATAATACTCCATGATTAAAAAAAATAGCTATTTTATACTACTTGAATGTATTTTAAAATCATAATATATCATAATTACCTCTCAAACCGAGTTTAAAACAAATTCTTTAGGGGTATTTGAAGTTGATCCTAGGACGAACGTTCTTTAGACACTATAGAGTATAGGAGTTGGCAATTGGCATCACTGAATCAAAGACTAAGATTCAGCCAATTACAATTTACAAATAAGATTTTAAATATTGTGCAATATATTTTTTAAGAGTTTAGATATTTAAGTGCGATATTTTAGTTATTTTATATTTTATCTGTGATATATAATTTATATTAATCTAATTCAAATTATATTAAATATGTCGAATCCCTGGAAAAAAGTATCTGCAGATGTTCAGAGTTTGTCTGATATAATGTCTGAAGAATATGCCAAAGGCTTGCAAACACAAGAGGAGCTGAAATTTGCAGAGCAGATTTCCGATTGCCATATAACCACTTCGGAGCCAACCGATTTGCCTCCTGATGTCTTGAAACAGATCGAAGAATCTAACGTAAAGGAGTATTGCGATTCGGATGCAATTATTGCGAAAGTTTTACAATGCCAGTTCGACAAAGAGTTTGACGATGAGTTAAAACGAGTTGAAAAGAAAAAGAATGGAGAATCCAAGGTTTCTGTTTCTTTCGACAATTATCGTATGGTACCTGAACATTTAGTGTATGATTCTGAATCTGGTGACGAAGATGTTATCGAAAAGAAAGATTGGGACAGATTTGAAACAAATGAGAAAGAATTTGCTCGTCTTCCAAAAAGAGGATTTATTATGAAGGACGGTGAAATGGTTACAAAGCATGATAGTGTAATTAATGGGCGTAGAAATGCCTGCAAAGTGATGGCTTTCCCTCCTGAAATATGTACTGGGGATGGAGCTGGTTTTGATATGAAATTACCGAATCATGTGTTCAACCAACTAAAAGAGCATACACGATGGAATACTGCCCGTAAACATAAGATGTTAGACAGAAAAGAGAGTCATGCCACGGCTGAAATGGGACTTGATGAACCGACAAGACTAATTCTCTTCAAACTTATTAACAATGGTCTGTTTGAGGATATAAACGGAGTTATATCGACTGGAAAAGAATCTGTGGTCATTCATGCAAACAGTGATCAATCTTACCCAGACATGATACTTCCTAAAGAGTGTGCTATTAAAGTTTTTAAAACCACACTCAATGAATTCAAAACAAGAGACAAATATATTGAAGCTGATTATAGGTTTAAGGATCGCTTTTCAAAACAGAATCCTCGCAAGATAGTCCACATGTGGGCAGAGAAAGAAATGCACAATATGATGAGGATTCAAAAAGTAGGGCTTAATTGCCCTGAAATGGTGTGCTTGAAGAAGCATGTTCTTGTTATGTCTTTTATTGGTAAGGATAATAAGCCAGCTCCAAAGTTGAGAGATGTAATACTGAGACCTGATCAATGGGAAAGTGTTTATAATGAGATTGTGGACTCTATGCACAAACTCTACAATGTAGGCCACTTAGTACATGCAGATCTGTCAGAGTACAATATCCTGTGGTGGGAAAATAAATGTTGGTTCATTGACGTCTCGCAGTCTGTACAGCCTGATCACCCAAGTGGATTGGAGTTCCTTTTGAGAGATTGCCGTAATATGATCAATGTAAGTAATAAAATAATTACTTTGTCTTACTCATTCTTAGATTAGATTGTACTACGTATTGTGTTATTTTAATATTACTTAAATTTTTTGTATTGAAATATTTTTTGTTTTTTTTGCAGTTCTTTGAGAAGAAAGGTGTAGGAAATATAAAAACAGTTGATGAATTGTTCAAATATATAACTGGGTATGATGAGGTTGATGTTAATATGCTTGAAGGTGTTCACACTATTTACAACTCATTGTCTTCCCGATTTGAGGTATCGTTGGATGATAATCGTAATGTCAGTTATCCATTTGAATATTGCTGGCTTAAATCTAATGAAAAGCCAAAGGCCAACAACAAGGACTCTGAAAGTGATGATGAATTTGATGAAATGTGGATACATTCTCAGAAAAATAAAGTAATGGATACTGCAACTAACTTTGCTAATGAAATTAAAGTTAATAATCCTATTATTGACAAGAATATTAACACTGGCAATGTTATTGAAGTTCCACTGGTTATTGATGGAGATATGAGTAGTATTGACAAAAAATCTTAATATACAGAGCACATGTTTGATTTGAATGTTTACTTATTCTGAGTTGATTATCAGACTGAAATTAGTCCTTATATGACAGTACATTTAAAATGAACAAAAAAGGAACAATAAAAAAGTTTGGGAGACCCTTAGTTTTATTTAAATAAACAATAGTAATTAACAACACTTACACAATTTGTTACATATTTTGTGCATACTGGAAAGAAAAGAATAAAATTTAACATGACAACAAAGTAACCAACACTAGACATTTCCATAAAGATTACATTAGGTACTTATTATAAAATACCAACTAGTGTACAAAATAATAGTTATTATTTTAATCAATTACTAAATATTTGCATTAATTTTTATAAATTACATTTAATTACACCTAATTGTTGAAGGTTAGTAACTGAGATGTGGTGTCAGGTAGTCAGCAGTGGTTCAGAAAGTTTACATTGTGGACTGTGTGTATTAAAAAGGTAATTAGATATTTTTATCAATACCAATATTCTATTTAGTATTTACTATAGATAAGCAAAATATAGATTTAATCTTCTTGTTTTTTACTGATTAATGATTGAAGTAAATCCCATTGTTGATCGGTAAGATATGGTTTTGTGTCCATACTAATAGCTATTAATGCCTGTTGGTCCTCCAAGTTGCTTGAAATTATAATAGACTGAAGTTTTAATTTTAAATCAGGGTTAAATTGCATAGCTGAAAAAAACTTGCTTATTATTTTAAAACTTTACATGGTAATTAATATTATATATTGTCAAACTGTTAACAAAGTCTCCAGCCATAATACTAGTTATGGTTAGTAAATGTTTATATATACTTACTGTCATTTTCTTCATCATCATTAAGCAGGTCTGTAAACAGCTTTTTCAAAGAATCAGTCCTATTCTTATCATTCATTTCCACATGTAGAGCTAAGAGTACTCTACTTACTTGTATCCTAAAATTAGTGTTTTTTTTTAATTTTTAATGTGTTTACTTATATCTATTATTAATTCAAATTATTAACAAAAGAAACAGTAGCTAGCTTTCATTATCATATACTTACTCAGCTAATATTCTTTCAGGTACATGACATTTCAGATCTGTTATTGAATTACCAGTTTGTAATGCTAAATCCAGCTTTCCTGTAAAAATATTTAAATTCTTAAATAATAATTTAAAATCTTATTATAAAATATAAGGGCTTGGCCTTTTTAGGTAAGATAAAATAGCCCCTAATCCTATACTCCAAATCTTATTATTACTCTGAAAACTTATCAATCACACTTAGTGATTTGACCTTGCAAATTAAATGCCAGGGATAATTCTAATTTAAAAAAATTCTTCTATGGATAATTTATACATTTCTCACCACTGTCTATTTGCATTTTAAAAAGCTTAATCATACACATCAGTTTCATAGTTTCATCCTGTATTATATCCAAAGCTTGTTTAAAATATGTTATGGCTTCCAGCTTATGATTTATCTCCAAGAGATCATTAGCAATTTCCAATAGTATTGATGCACGGAGTGGAGATTTTTCTGGATACTTGTGTAATGCTTGCAAGAAACATCCAATAGCTGCCTGTAAAAAACTACCTTAGCTTAAACAAACATACATAATCATATATTTTCTACAAAGTGCTTTTATTTAAATTTCCATTAATATTTTCCTTACCTCTAAGTTTTCTCTATCTGGACTATCAAATTTAAGTGAGAATAGCTTTTTTTCAGCTTTCATAAATTGTCTTGCAGCTGCAATATAATTTTCAGCTTCTCCTAAAATATTGCCAGCAGAAGCCTCACATTTTGCCGCGCCAATATAAGTTTGCCCAGCAAAAGTTGGTTGCTCACAGTTCTCACACTGGATTGCAAGACCAATGAACTCGTTCGTAGCTTCTGATATATTAGGTCGGCGCATAAAACGCCTGAAAAAAGTAAAATGTTAGAAGTAATAAACCATTACATTGGTGTATTGTTTTGAGGTATCGAATACTCACTTCTTCAACTTCGTGTTAATATTTACATATTGTTCATTGAAACTAGCACCTAAGTCTGTCGACATGCTTATAAAATTTTATGGTTTCAATTCGATAACACCCACACTTTACTATAGCAATTCGGACTTAATTTTTCAAGACCATTTTGTTATTAGTAAATAATGATTGATTTATGATTATATTAATTTATCCCTAATAGGAAAGGCAAACGACTTTATATTAGTAAATAATTAATCCACACACTACACAGATTACGAAGGCTGATACATAAACAGAGTCCACAGCACGTATCATTTTAACTAGAAATTTTACTCTAAACTTAAAGTGGCAGCTGATTTTGACATCACAAACGTCAAATCAATTGTCAAACTAAAGGAATCTTTGACGTGTACTATTTTCGTGTAATGCAAAATGTTTCAGGATATTATTTGTTGAAGTATGGTATTCAATATGAATTTGTATTTTTGATAGTTTTCTTAAGAAATACAAGAAAGACGATTAAAAATGGATTTCTTTAAAAGTGGTTTAAAAACTGTCTTGGGTGCTCCAGAGCCCGGTCAATTGCCTTCAGGCGCCGAAACGGTACGATTTTCTAAAATTGTAGTTATTTTACTACTTTAATAGATATTCCATGTACTTTATTTAATATTAAAATAGAAATCGTTTCTTTTTCCAAAATTTAAAACCAGATATGAATACTCTCTTCAAACGCTTATTCTAATGGGTCTGTTCCGTTTTTATAAGTACAATACTGGTTAATAATTACCATGTTCAATTAAACAATTTGCTCAGCATATAAAACTTGATAACATATTATCTAAAATTATATTTATTATTATTATAGGTGGAAAGATTAGTGGATAGAGTAAATAATTCAACATTATTGGAAGATCGTCGTGATGCATGCCGAGCCTTAAAGGCAATGTCAAGAAAGTATAGAGTTGAAGTGGGAGCTCAGGGAATAGATACTTTGAAACAGGTTTAAATTATTGTGTTTCTGTTAATACAATAGTAATTTCACATGTGTTTATTTAATTCACTTTAGTTAAAGCACCTGGTTTCCTTTACTGTTATAAGAAAAATTAATGCCTTTTTGAACAGGTTTTAGAACTGGATCGGGCAGACAATGAGACTATTAATTATGCTCTTGACACTCTTAACAACATCATGTCACCCGCACAGTTTGAAGAAGAGGAAGACAACCCCCATGTTCCAATGAATATTGGAGAACAATTCACTGAAATGTTTATAAAGGACCCACACAATATCCAGCTACTTTTGGACTTATTGGATGAGTATGATTTTAGGGTTCGGCTTTCTACTGTACAATTACTCACTTCACTTCTAACAAACAGAACAAAAGATATCCAGGAAATTATTCTAGTCAAACCAATGGGTGTCTCAAAAATGATGGATTTGTTGGGAGACACTAGAGAGGTCATAAGAAACGAAACTCTCCTTTTACTTATAAAGCTTACTAAAGGTAATGCTAATATCCAAAAAATTGTGGCTTTTGAAAATGCATTTGATAGATTATTTGAAATCGTGTCGAGTGAAGGATACTCTGATGGTGGAATTATTGTAGAAGACTGTTTATTGCTAATGTTAAATTTACTTAAGAACAATAGTAGCAATATTAACTTCTTCAAAGAGGGGAGTTACATCCAAAAGATGCTTCCAATGTTTAACACTCCTGAGGACTTGGAAGACATTGGCTGGTGCCCACAGAAGGTCTCAAATGTGCACTGTATGCTTCAGATTGTTCGTACCTTGGTGTCACCCAGTAACTCAGCACAAATTATATCCAGTTGTCAGAAGATAATGAAGAATGTAGGATTTTTAGATGCTCTTTGTAATATTTTAATGGCAAGTGGAGTCCCAGCTGATATTCTTACGGAAACAATAAATACTGTGGGTGAGGTAGTGCGTGGTGACATTACAAATCAGGACTTTATTGGTAATGTTATGGCACCTTCTAACCCACCCCGACCTGCTATAGTTGTGTTGCTTATGTCTATGGTGAACGAGAAGCAACCTTTTTCTCTCAGGTAATTAATCTTAATTTATATAACATGTTATTTTGTACTTCATAAACTTTTACATTCATATACAAATCTTCATGAATATAAGGTTTAAACCATTTTAACAAAGGATAACAAAATTGAAAGGGGTTGTAAAAGAAAATCCTTTGTAGCCCTTTAGTAAAATTGCAATTGTCTAATGAATAAATTTGATAAAGACAATATATTGTAGTATGTAGTATTAAAGTTCATAGGGTTACTAACAATATACTTAATTAGGCGGAGAGTTTATTGCTAGTTCTTCTCCTCCATTCTATGCCCTTGATTTGAGAACTGGCAGTAAATGTAAAATTAGAATCATTTCATATATATTTATTTTTTGACATTCATAAGTGTACATTTTGTTACCTATATGAATAAATAGGTAACAAAATGTAAAAATGTACAAACAGAAAAAATATGACATTAGAAAAAACAAACTTATACAGATTACAAAATCAGAAATAAAGTAAAAATCAAAACCATTAGCCAATAAAGATTTGCTCCTAAATTTGAATCTTTCAGGTGCGCAGTCCTCTACTGCTTCCAATGCTATCTTTACCACAATGAACTCAGCCAAGCATCCTTGGTACAAACATTACTACCATCATCCACTGACGTATCCAGCTTAACTAGTGGCCAATTACTTTGCGGTGGTCTATTCTCAGCCGATGTGTTATCAAATTGGTTCTCAGCAGTGGCTTTGATGCATGCTTTGATAGATAATCCAGGACAGAAAGAGCAATTGCTGAGAGTTTTATTAGCGACTAATGTTGGAAGCACACCAGTGTCTCTCTTGCACCAGTGTACTCTCTTATTGCAGCAGACAACTAAGTTGCAGTCAAAGGTGAATTATGATTTTCTATTCTAAATAATTAAATTATTTCATTTTAAATTTTTATCTTTGATTAAAATGATTATTAATTGGAGGAAGAGTTGTAATCACAAAAAATGTATATCTGGTTTATTTAAGTGTATAAGCTAGAAGAGTATTCGTTTAAAATTAGTAATATCCTTTTTCTCACTCATTCATTCATTCTCTCATTCTCATCACTCACTTATTCGTGTCTGTATCTCTTCTATAACTCTATTTTATGAATAATTTAAGTTTAGTAAATTATTGTGATTGTGTATTTCTTCCAGGTAGCATTGCTAATGCTGCTCTGTCAGTGGATGAGTCACTGCAGTGCTGCAGTGAGTGCATTTCTCCAAGTTCCAGGAGGAATAGGATATCTGGTCAACCAGACCTGCTCCAACGAACATGATGAAAACGAATACTTGCTGCAAGGTGAGTCATCTCTTAGGGTATTATTTAGAGTCATTCACTAAGCGTTACCTTGGACTCCCGTATGCCAAATACTTAGTGCTATGTTTAGACTCTACATCTTGTCCTCAGAGTAGTGCTGTACAAATATTTTTGAGGACTGTGGTTAAGTTGTTTCTTATCTGAGTAGAATTAGAGTAAGATCGAAATTAGATGTAAGTCTGACTCCTGTCAAAAATAACTTATACTTTGACTCGCCTGAGTCATTGTTCCCGCCAAATCTCGACGCCATCGCGCGTCAACGTTCTTATTCTGTAATTTCTAATAACGATAGTGTAACCCAAATGATACAGACTGTTGTACTGCTTATTAAAAAACTCGACATTTTGCTTTATTTTAGAGAGGATCTTTCTTATAAGGAGAAATGAAAAACGTCAATTTTATATATATATATATATATATATATAAAATTGTATATTCTTTGTGTGTGTATGTATATATATATATATATATATATATATATACACAAAGAATTTGATAGATGAGCTCACAAAAATTTATTAGTGCAAAAGTGCTTCATTCAACAATTAAAAGTTTCTGGCTATCGACCATTGCTACTCTCTCTCCTCGGTCTGAGCGTCGTGGTCACCAAGGAATCAACTCATCGAATCGAAGTCATAAAATCTGATAAAAGCCAAGAGGCTGTTTGCTGATGAGTGGAGGAAAAAAATCTTTAATTTTGCATACACCGACTGTACTTACAATGGTATTTAGTTGGTTGTTACAAAAAAGCTTTATTTATTTACTAAAGTTCACCACATCATATATAATGCTATATCTACAGTATATTTTACAAGCTATAATAGCTATAATAGATGACAATGATAGTAAACATAAATGTTACAAAAATAGCGGATTACGTATCAGATACGCACTTAACAATGCTTTTTTTTAATTGATCAGCCCACTGACTTCGTCAAGCTCTGGATAAGTAGTGTTTATTCTGATTCTGAGCTCTCCGATCGTACAGTGACATCATTTAAAATTCCCTTTAAGTCGCTGATGGTACAGGTGCCTATGAAAAAAGTAAATAATAATAATATTTTAATGCAAGAATATGGTACAAAAATGTGTAAGGTGGTACAATCGTAAGTTAGCATATTCTGCCATACACAATGGCGCGCAAATTTGTCTCTAAAGGAATATTACATTTTACATTATTATTTGTATCGTACATATCATATATGTTATTAAATTTATATCAACTACAGTGTCTCACGCAAATAATCATTGGAATAATACATTTTTTCCAAAAGTTTTTAAAAACTCTAGTCGGAAGATCTTTTAATTCTTTTGGTAAATTATTGTAAACCTTGATTGTCATACAAAAGGTGTTTTTCCTTAACAGTTTCAGATTGATTTTTGGCTCAGCCAATTTCTCCCCATGTCTACTTCGACAGATGTTTATTTATTTATTTTTTTTTTTTGTGGGGAAATGCGTTACGCATACCCTCCCGCGGCGTGGTTGGCCTGGTGGGGAAGGGTTATGTGGGACTCGCTGTTGTGCATACCCACTAAAACCCCACAGCGCCACCAGCAATCGCCCGGGGCAGGACACGGTAACAGCGTAGCCTTGTCCGCATCCAGCCACGCGATCAGCCGTTAATATTACGGTCCTCTACGGCCACGAATGATGTGGAATGGACCTTGGCACAGCAAGGGCCTTTCACATCGGCCAATTCATCCTGTTTTATAGAGCTGGGGGAGGCCGGGTACAATGCTTGCAGGGATGTGTCAGCATCCCTTCTTTTGGACGTATGAGCCCCTGTTTCCCCGCTGGAGCAACTGCGTGCCCAGGATTACACACAGGGTTGCACGGTGCAATGGCGACGCTGTGGTCTCCTACGGCGACGCGGGTGGGCTGCGGGATCATCCTCCCTGGCCCTCTCCGCCTCTTCCTTATGGTGTCATGCACCTTTTCCTTCACAGAATCTCTGGAAGATTTCCCACATGCCGTCACTGTCCGAGCTTGTAACTGCTACTCTCACAATGTTATCGAGAGTAGCGTCCTCGCCCTGTAGCATGCCCAGTAGAGGCCTCCTTTCCACCTCCCATGCTAGGAACAGATGTTTATTCCCGTAACGTTAATCAACTAAAAACAAAGAAAATAAGGAAATAAATAAATTTTCAGGCCTGTCCTCATTCCTGTTAGCAATTTGTATCCATTTCAACGACGATTCAGTGGAGAGTTACACCAAAGATGCTCTTAAGCAATTATTGGTGAAGAGAATAGGAGTGGAAACCTTCACGGCCAAATTGAGCGAAGTGTCCAAGCATGAGTTGTACAATAAGGCAGCCAAGCACCCACAGTTAAGAGTGAAGATACCAGCAGAAATACTCATTGATTATGAGTTCTGCCGGCTTTTCAAGGTCTTGGAAGGTATGTGTTATGTTGCATTTTTCAAGTGACAGTTGACATTTTTGTGACAGTTGACATTTTTGTTGCATTTCCAAAATTTGTTTAATTTTTATACACTCAGTTATATAACCACCCTTGGTCTAAAAGATTTGCTTCTTTTTATTGTTTATTTATTATAGGCAAGTCAAATAATCTGTTTTCGCTCTAACGATGTTAATTAACCCATTTAAATTTAACCAATTAAAAATTAACCCATAGACTAAGAAAATTCTATTTGCTGAGTCGGGTTTGAACTCTCGACCTCAGGGTTTTTAATTTTTTTAAATTCTTCTATACTAAACAGAACATTGACATAATAGAATCAGAATTCAATTTACTCTTTCACATTACTCCTTGCATGGTAGGTTGCCGCGATCGCTTTTGTATTATCCTGTATGCAGGGTCAACGGGCTACGGTTTTTGAGCAGTGTCAGTAAAGTATAAGAATTTCTCCAGGTGTCCTCATTAACTCGATATCTGAAAAGCAAGAACCTGACCCGAGTGAGGATCGCCAATCGCCAGCCGCAGACAATCTGGAACAATACAAGAGCCTCATTAGGCAACAGGATGCTCGTCTCCAAGAGTTGATGCAGCAGCTAGATGGCTTGATGCAGCAGAACTACGCGTTGCAGGTGAGACTTATTAGCAGATCTGGTGAACTTTGTTTGTGAAGAGCTGCAGCAATCACAACATGCTCCTTATCACTTCTTGCAGCAATTCATTGGAAAAATATTATCTTGATTATACTATTATACTTAAATATATTTATTTTAGGTAACAAAGTACTATCAGGGGTCTAGCCAAGATGGCTTAACAGTAGTGTATGTAGAAAGTCGAAAACTAAATTTGTATGGAAATGACAGCTCGTGTCGACAGTCGGTAGCCTAGGTCCTAAAGGCGTGAGTCGGGATACAATAAGCGACGCCATGACAGTGCTACGAAAAGACACACATTAACGCTTACGCTATTCGGTAGCCAACGGCCAATTAATGTTTCGGCAGTGTAGAAAAAACGGCGTTTCTCCGCCATGTTTTAGCGTGATCTCAAAAGCTGCTGTTTGCAATAATTCAGTACAACTATCGCCATTTTTAATGGCTACTGTTTTAAAAACATGTCATATTTTGGACATTTTAACGAAATGGTTTTAATTTGTTATCTGTCTTTTTTAACGTTCTCGTGTAATTATAATATTTTAAACTAGAGTTAATATTTTTAAGTTAAGAGTTTTAGTTTTTCTATGAATCAATGCGAGGATAACATAATAGACACAGATAAATATGAAAATATCAAGAAAATCAGCAAATTAGTAGAGGTAAATCCTAGTTATATTGGATATCTTTTATTGATATTTATATTGCATGTAAGTTCATGAAATTGTTCTTTAATTTGAAAAATACATATACCATTTAATATTGCATATATTATGTAATCACAAAGTAAAATGATTGTACATTTTATTTGTATATTTCAGATGAGAAAGCAGTCACTAATGAACATAATTAGAAGTTCTAAATATATTTTATTGTAATTATAATAGAAGCTGATAATGATATAATATTGATTTTAATTAATCAAATAAAGTGGATTTATACTTTATGAACTTTGGAAATATAAAATCTAGTGAGCAATACTAAGTAATGGTAAGCAGATATTTTCTTTAATTATTTACTAAGTCAATATACTAGAGAATTTATTATAATATTGTTAATGAATGAGAAGTTTGAATTCAAGTCCCTTGGGAGTTACTGACATTGTTGGGTTATTAAAAACTTTAATTGACAATAAGCAGCAAAGTGACAAATTAAGTATATTTTTAAGTTTAGAATTAAGTAAAGACTTTTAATATTAAAGTTATGTATTGATCAAAGCACTAACTAAAATATTTTATTTTCAGAAAAAGAGAAGCTAATAAGGCAACTAAATATATTAAAAAAACCACAAATGGACAAGTTTTTATTAAAGTCTTATCTTTTAATTAATTAAAGTGTTATATTATGTACCTGAAAATGAATTTGATAATGGGGAACGAAGCATTTTATGAATAATGTAAAATATAAGACAAGTGGAGTATGAAATAATGGTTGGTTAAGTAACATTACCTCAAGAACAGGAAACAGTAACTGAAACTATGTTCTTCCACATTTAATCTTAATAAGTTCAGCAGTTTGAATGTTAATGAGATATTATTATAAACAAACTGCATTTGTAGATTTTGGGAAGAATTATATCTTTACAATAACTATTATTATTTACAATTGTTGTGTTAAGGAAACAATCACTATTTTTTTAATCGCCCAGGATGTATTCATAGTAACTGTAGGTATCATAGTAATTTTATGAAATCATCACAACATTTAACGTTAGGTTTTATGAATTGAACAATTTTTTGTATATAACAGCACACAAACAAGATATTGACATTGCTGCAAATTAACACTTACATTAGTTAAGTATCTACATATATGAATACATCTACATTAGGTTGTAATGCATTTAATTTGGTGCACCTGCGTGTGTTCAGTAGTAATGTCTGTATTGTTTAATAAGTTGTTACATATGCTTATTTTCCTATGTAGACTGCATTATGTTAAGGAAGATATTTGGTGCCTTATTTTAATAAAAAATAACCATAACTGAAACATTTTTATTTTGCTACCTGTTTGTTTAACATTCCTAACTATTAGTAGGTATGGGTCATTCATATATCTGTATATTCTTGTAAAATAAACTAATATTTTGAACCACTTTGCTTTGTGACCAATGGCTTTTCCTACTAAAGAAGACATAGGTAAATTACCTAAAATAAAACTGACAAATACATAACATACAATGTTTATTCATTTCTTACTTAAACAGATTTTGCATTTACATATTAACTAGTAGCAAATCACTGATATAACCAAAAGTTAAGTGACATAAATATTAACTTTAAATCAGCATCAAACTTAAATTTATATCTAAGATGTTGGAGCATCAATATGGAATCAAAGGTTGATTAAGGGTTATAATTTCATACCAGACTAAGTTTCTATTTTATAATTTTTATTAATCCCTCTTTTCATTTAATTGAGTACTTGCTGTTTTTCAATTCTCACTTTCTAAAAGTATAAATATATTATAAACAATCAACCTTTATGACTCTAACTTAAACTGAAATTGTTTGTTGGACATAAACAGAGATAATTCCAACTAGTAGCAAATCACTAATAAAATCTACACTTATATATAGGTAAATGTGCTTTCAAATTGACATTAAAAATGTTCAAGAACAAACACCAAACCTAATTAAAGCTTAAATCGAACTCTAATTTCAGTGTTCACACTAGTCTACGTTTTTTTTCTATTGTTTTTTATTTCCTTGGACTTTATCAACTTCTAGTCAACCTTATTTTCACTCTTTATATATCAATCCACAGTACTATTTCTATTGTTTCTTATAAACGGTAACAAAATATGTTGCTTCTTCATTTTGCAGATTAGTTGTGAGGTCAAATCCGAAAAATATCAAAGTATGAGTACTACTAATTATTATATATCGCGATTATGCAATTTCAAAATATTGTATTTATTTGTAGCCTTAAATTTCTGAGAAAACATGAAACAAACCATAATTAATTTAAACATGCAATTAAAATTCATATATTCACTTTGCATCTTCCGTAATTCCACTTAAATCGAAAAAATTTCCGACCTTGCTAACATTCTAATGTCCCTTTTGCAGCTTCCAATTGCAAATTTACAATAATATTGTAAAGTTTTAACTTTTATTTGTTTATAAAAGTGACATTAGGAATACATTTAATCCAGAGACAATATGACGGAATAAGGTGCTACGAACAGCAGCTCGCATCTACGCTGTCGACTTTGCGGTAATGTATCGACATGCCTCTTGGCTACGAACGAAGCGTTTTCGACAATACAATTACGCAAAAGCGGTAGTGTATGTAGAATACTTTTCGACACCAATATGGCTAGACCCCCAGATTGGTAGAATTTAAAATTTTATGTAAATCGACGTAGGAAAGCACATTTGCTGTAAGTAGACATATTGCAATTGTTCACCAGAGCCAAAAAACTTTATTAATTTCGGAAAAAAATTAATAGTGTCTGACCTATCCATGATATTGCTACCATTTTTGAAACATATATTTATTTAACTGCCAGTCACCATTTGCAATGTAAACTTTTTATCCAAAGTTACTATAAGTACGTGTTTGGCTAGTTACAGCAAACAGTTTTTTAAATCACAAACCTTTAAAACGCTGTAACTAAGGAAGAAAAATGTACGCGCGGAAATATTATCAATTTACAGGCGGTAAATATGCTGTATGCAGGAAATTTATGTATTTGGGTACTTTTAATTGCAATTCAAGATGTAAGATTAGTTTATAATTATGATTAGATTAGAAAATACCAAAACTGTAGGTTCCCTAAACTTGCTGTAAGTAAACGAATGTAAAAATCACACGCCGCTGAAATGCTGTAAGTAGCGTTAAGTTTTTAAATGGGAAGAAGTAAGTATTTGTAAAGAAAAAAATGCAGATTTTCTTTTGCTGTAAGTGCAAAATGTCTGAAATGACTAGATTTTGGTCTACATACAGCATTTAATCTTGCTAAAAATAATATAAGTACGGGCGTTTTCAACGGCGTATGTAATTTTTTTTTCATCGTAGAGACACAGGACCCAGGTCATTCGATGCGGCTTTTTTTTCTGATTCTAATGGCAGGAAAAAGTCACTTTAGGTATTTTGTCTACTTACAGCAAATATGCTTTCCTACGTCGAAATGTAAATTGAACGACGTCACCGGGATCGTCTGTAGGTGTACCGCAAGGCTCCATACTTGAACCTTTTTTATTCCTTATCTACATCATTTTTTCACATGCATAGATGTACATAAGTGTTTATATTTGCATAAAATATATTTTGACTAGTTTGAATTTTGTAAAAAAATATACATTATATGTATGGTTTCAGACCAATAGAAAATAAAATATTTTTTCCACTGTTATAGTAATTTTAGTTCATAAAATAATCACTTTATTCATTTAAATTATTATATTATCTGTATCACTTGTCATTCCAGAGTGAATTAAACGATTCCATAGCATCAAACTCTCTCCTCAAAGACGAGAACACGCTTCTCAAAGCCCAAGTATCAGCGAAATTGCCCTCCCAGTGTAACCAGATAAATCAATCGAGCCAGGCGACACCAGGGCAACATACCCAAGCTAGTCAAGCAACCAATCCAGACAGATTACTCGAATATGAAAATAAATTGCAATTCCTAAATTCTGAAGTGACTAGACTGACGGCCGAATTAAAGGCATCCGAAGAGGGTAAGACAAATTATGAAGAGGAATTGGTGAAGTTGAAACAAGGACAAGATGACCTGAAAAAGGACCAGGACGATTTGTTGGAATTGCTTGCAGATCAGGTGAGTCTGAGTTTCAAAGATGAGCATAGTGTTCTGGACTCAGTTTCTCAGTCAGTCAACTTTGGCTAAGAATTTCGTTTGACTTCAGTTTTAGGGTTGAAATTTTTTAGTGTAGAAATGTAATGTCTCTCAATGTTCCACAAAAGAATAATTAATTGAAAATTTTAAAAGGCTTGTGTTTAAGCTACGTCATACGTGTTTAGTTTGTATTCGTTTCTCAACAAATTAACATAATATTCAAAAACCATTATGAATTTGTTTAAAGCGACTGGAGCGTTCCGAAAAAAAAATCTGGCAACTACTTTCATCTGAAAAAAGTAGCCAACATGGTTTCATCATGCTAAAGCACTTTAAGATGTCATTTAAGAAACATAGTAAATTAATTGATATATCGTTTTCATTGTTACTAGATACTCTAAGCATCCCATCATCCCATTTGTCCCTCCTTGTCACTCATGTTTCCTTTCATAATAGCGTAAACGCAATTTTAAGAAAGAGATAAAACAGTGCAAGACCTCCATAGACCATAGAAAACTATCGTAGTCTATGTCTTCTTTCAAAAACGCCGGATGTTTAATTGACTCGTCGAATTGAGTAATGAAACCTATGAAACAATGTTTTCTTATATTTCCTCTACGTAATAGTGATAATATAATTGAAATTTCGAATTCAATTAAGAGGCTTCTGTTTTTCAGGACATGAAGATAAACGAGTACAAAATGCGTTTGGTCTCCTTGGGACAGACAGTGGAAGAGACACAAGGAGACACAGAATTAAATCTTACCTAATTTTATTACTTTTAATTATAAGAATTACCATTTGTTGTCAAATTATTATATTTATTATGTATTATAACATTTCTAATATATTATTATTTCACAATGTATTTTTAATTTTCTACTGGCTGAAGATGTCATCGTAATTTAGACAAATTAAACTGATTTCAAATACCGTTCAATGGTACTTACCTAAGAATATATTAGGTCCTTACATATTGGCGTATTTCGTACTGGCCACTTTAATCACGATGTTCTCCTGTTTGGTAAGGAATTCCAAATTCAAATTTGTACAGCTATTTACTCATGTATTTGTGCTTCGATGACCGTCATTCGTTTTTTTCTTCTGTTTTTTTCTGTTTGCGTCACTCATTTTACAAAATGGAAAACTTAAAGTATCGCATTATTTACGAGTACGAGTTCCGCCGTGGCACTAGTGCTGCGGAAACGACTCGAAGGTTGAATTATGTGTATGGCGGTCATGTTGCAAAAGAAAACACAGTTCGTTTTTGGTTCCAACGTTTTCGTTCTGGAAATTTCGACCTGCAGAACAAGCCCCGTGGACGGCCTGAGACCCAAGTTGCCAATTGCAAACCATGGTGGAAAAGCTAGCGGCTAAACAACCTAGGCTGGTCAATCGCTCCACGCCACTGCTACTTCACGACAACGCTAGACCACACACTGCACAACAGACGGCTACCAAATTAGAAGAGCTTCAATTGGAATGTCTAAGACATCCTCCGTACTCCCCGGACCTTGCTCCAACAGATTACCATTTTTTTCGAAATTTGGACAACTTGCAAGGGAAAAAATTTAGCTCTGATGGGGCAGTCCAAATCGCCTTTACAGATTTGATTGATTCCCGTCCGACTACATATTCATCTTTCACTTGCCTGAGGGAGTATGTACGAGGCGAGGCTGTACATTTTGCTCAAGATTTTTTAGTTTTATAAGAATGGCGATTAGCTATTGTTACGCTACTATTAAAAGCATAGATAATATTTTTTATTAAAGGGGTGAATAAAACTCGGCAGTGTTGCAGTGAACAATAATTTATTATATACGTTTCTAAGTAAATTTTACTATTTAAATACTAGCACAGTCCGGCATTAATTTTCTCGTATTATATTATTAATACTAAAGTCGATACAATGTTAATATTAACTATCCGCAGTGCTGATATTTTGTGGAACAGACATTATATTTAACGTGTTTAAAATTCCAACCAAAACTATCCGTAGCATAGACTATAGCTTTATTCCAAGTGACTATTTTGCAATTAAGTTTGACATTTGACAATCTTAACAACTAAAATTGCTTTAAGCTTTTTGATACCTTTCCAAACTAACCTTACCTTTATACATTCCTTGGACAAAATAATAAATATTCCTTTTTTGATAGATGATAATAAAAAACACTTTTTATAAAAATTGCAATATCCTATCTAATGTCTCCAATCAATACTGACTAGGTGCAATACAACATAATTGCAATATATTTTAAACGACTTTTATTTACATACCTAAATATCACACAATTATATCTTATATGCGCTAGTTAAACATTTAAGTAGACACGAGGTAATCTTATTTTGTGTAAAACCGCACTGGCAACACTTAAGCCCAGCTGTCATTTATCACGTCGTTCTACAGCACAGACTCTAAACTCTAAAGCAACGCTTTGGTACAATTTATAATATGTCTTCCCTTTAATTATAACCTATACTTATCGACTAGTTTATCAAAACTCTACATTTGTTACTACCTGTTTGTGTTTGAATAAAGTGCAAATAAATTTCATTTCATCAGAATATCGGAACGCTTGGTGAATCAGGTACGATGATAACTTGTGATGTGAAGTCAAACAATGCGACCCTATAAAGAAAAAATAAATAGTAAAATACCTATTTAAACTGTGTGAGGTGAGAATGTAAAACAAAATAAACAATATCGCATTTTATATGATTTTTATTTGTCAACATCATACATTTTCGTTTCTTTACATTTTTGAACTCCTGAACTCCTGAATGAATTATATGACAGCCGTTATCTCCTAATGCGAATCGAATTTGTATGGAATTAGTGACGAGACGATTCACTTCTATATATATATATTATTTATTTTCCTTCTTTTGATTACAAAGATCCATTCACGTTAACAACTTAAAACTAATTATCATAATCATTAGCAATGGTTATACAGCCTCTTGCGGGCCTTAGCCTTCTGAATTACACTTCGCCATCGCAATCTATCCAGTGCTTCCCGCGTTTAAACTAATTTTAGTACATTAAAATTAAAAAATATGAAAGTCAGCCTATACATACACTAGTCTCGCAGAGACGACAAGCGTATGCACAAATTGATATTGAGTCAATACTCAGGTGCAGTACACTAACTGTTCCTGCTGCCTCGAAATCATCATAATATAGCAGTCACGCCTGACAGTCACTAGTACGTATCTCCTAGTTAACAGTATAATCTTTATAATTTGCTAGAACGCCTAAAACTTTGAAAAGTCTATCCGTACAACCTTGTTACAACATTTTATCATTTTATGAAATCGACTGTGTAAAGCCTGCGAAACAAATATTGGTTTTGAAACGATGAAATCGTTCGATACAATCTTTAAAGCACACAACCTAGCATTTTATAGAACCACGACGTGTTAAATGACATTCATTTTATTATAAGGAATGGAAAATACGTAAAAATGGAAGCAATACGTAGATTTCGATTAGATTTCTGCGATTTACCGACTATGATCGAAAATGTTGATGTCTTATTGAGGATTGTTAATGTTAAAATTGTTAAATCCAATGACCGACGTGAGTAAAGTAGTTAATTTTTATGAGCGCTTGAAGTGGGATGTTTTTACAGTGCAGTAGTAGAGTTGTAGATTGGAGGAATCAGGAAAGAGTGGCGGAAAGTTTCTTGCCAGTTCTTCTTACCCGCTCTACGCCCTTGACTTGCGAACTGGTAGTAAATGTAAATTTACGATTAATTTAACTTGACGATTCAAAAGTGTACTTGGTTACCCACTTGAATAAAGATATTTTGAGTTTGAGTTTGAAATCAGGAGAAACAAAAAGATTTATAACAACGCAAATAATATTTCGTACCAGATATTTCTTCAAGAGTGTTCGCAAGAGAGCATCAAAAAACAATAACAGTTACTAAGACCATCTTATATACGAAAGGGGTTATAACGTAATATTACTTTAATAGAAACAATATACTTTAAGTCTTAAGGTAACATTCAGTTCTGATTTAGCGCAGACAAACTCAAAACATTTTTGAAATAAAGGAGTCGAAATTAGCACTGTCGTAAATCTTGTGGTTGAACGCGGTTTTAAGTGGAAATCTGGATCATCTAAGATAAATATATTCATTGAAAAATGTAAATGTAACTCTCTAGTGGAAGTAAAAAAATGCAGTCCGTGAACGTCGTCATATCAAACTGAAGCCTACCATAGTCAAAACCTTAATGGTATTCGACAATTGAACAATATCATAATCAACCAATATTGTTGTCGCATTAATTATTTTCACATACAAATCTTCCAAGACGTCTTTGCTTCCACTGTTAATTTATACTATTATTATTATCACATTCTTTTTTGCGTCTGAGGCGCAAACTTACTGGTCTCTGGCAGAAAGACCACATCATAATGTTGTGCCAGGGCCAGTTACTACCACACATAAAATGTATCTTATTCCTTTTTTTCCATATTTTTTTGTAATTCTTTTTTGATTATTATTATTATTTTGTGTGTTTCCGTGTGTTAGTAATAAATGTTATGGCATCAAAATCGCAATAAACTTCTGTTCTGTGCACAAAAGATCCTATGATTTTATCAATATTTTCTTTATTTTCAGCCATCAACATCATAATACTATTACTATGGGTGACTTCTCTTATATGCTACTATCATGCCTACATCGTTTCAACAATATGGTTCGTGTTCATTCGGTGTCCAGAAACAGGAGACTTGATAGCCGCATCATTAATATTCTCTCTGGCTGCGTGTAGTCAGCCATCGTTCATCACCATGTTTCAAATGATTATTTACAAGTATTACTTTAATTTTATTATAACATTACCAATTATTTGTCGTCAAATAAAGTGATTTTTTTATTTTTTTTATTTTATTATAGTGTACATTCTATGTGCACTTGATTTAACGTCGAAATTACTTGTTTTCTTGTCTGTCCAATTTAACTAAGATGTCGTCGGCTTAATGATTTCTATCTATAATATTATAAAACCTAAGCAAAAAGTCAGTCACACTAAAACTGGTCTTGGTTTTTCTATATCACTTCCTTGATCATCTTTCGTTATAGGCAAAAAGGTGATCAACCTGAAACACGCCATCGATTTTTAAGGTCTAAGATGTTCTAGATTCCTCCATCGTATGATCAAGTCACGCACACATAATCCATTTCTTCGCAGACAGTTTTATAACGCATAATTTTAGGAGACCCGTGTACGTAGTCACAAGACTAGGTGCTTTTATATGATGTAGAATAATTAAATTTGTTACAGAAAAAAGGTCCAAGGATTAATAGAAAATGTTCAAGGATTTAATTACTTCGTCAAGCCGGATACAACCTTTTCCAAAAACATTCACACACATTTACGCTATATCAAAAAACGTGCCATGGTAGTGTGGATTACTATGGTCGTTGATGGAATGGTGTATATCTTGATACCTATAATAATGCCAGGAAGACACCTGCCTGAAGATCTTCAAATAATCTATGGTATCTATATTACAACAAAATTTATTTAAAAGATAAACATTAAAAAACCGAAAATAAGGAGGTTTTATGAATCAAGTCAAGGTTTTAGACGAAGAATTTACAAAAACCTTGTTATCATGAAAAATTATGGTGACATAATAAATTTAAAAAAAAACGTGTGGCACTCGGACTGCCGCGGTAAAGCATAGAACTTTTTATCAACTTATGCAATTATAATTATTTATTTATTTTTTATTTATGCAGTATTTTGATATTAATCCAATCTACCACTCTACCAGACTCAGACTAACACGCCTATATAGTCCGTCTCACTCTAACGCGTAGAGGCCGCGCTTACGCTACCGATCTCGTCAGAGAGATGTGAATACGCAGTATGCATTCTGTCCCACTCTAACGCACCTGCGCTACAGTCACCGATCACGCTAGACCGATGTGAGATGCAGTATGCATCCTGTCCCGCTCTAACGCGTATTGGCCGGACCTATATTATGTCATCGTGTGTTGGATTTTTATTTTTGTTACGGAATATCTTGATTGGGTCGCCGCGCTCAAAGCCCGCGATAAAAGCTATGCAATATCTTAAAAATATATGTTCATGTTTTTGGCGAGTCAATTATTTTTCATTTTTCAGGATTGGAACCAATGTTCAAGTCCCCCAACTTCGAAATCGCCATGATTATCACAGCATTAGGCGTGTATATTTGCGTATTTTCGCTAGCAAATGTAACAGCAATGAACATAGTCATACTCGGCTACATTGAGGCGCAAATGATCGCGCTCAGCAAAGAAATCAAGAATGTGTGGAATAGCGCGGAATATTCCTATAGAAAGCACGCTATCTCCTACAAAAGTTCAGGATCGAAAACAATTATAAAAAACATTTACGTCAACGAGAAATTAAAAGAAATAATTTACTTTCACGTAAAGTGTATCGAGGCGTTAAAATATTACGATAATGTATTCAATGTTACAAAGGCAATTGAATTTTTACTCATTGTTTTGGGTATAATTTCAGAATTGCTGGGCGGAGTCGAGAGCACATATTTAGAGATGTTATTCACAGTTGTGTTAATATCGATCGAGTGTATTTCTGGACAAAAATTGAAGGACGCTTCAATGATGTTCGAAAGGGCGGTGTATGATTGTAAATGGGAAAACTTCGACATCAATAACAGAAAAACTATACTATTTATGCTACCCAGCGCACAGAGGACTTTAAAAATAACTGCTGGTGGTACTACACCTTTGGACTTTAGGTGTATGCTCGCAGTGTTCCGATTCAGTTATTCCACGTACAATACACTGCGGTTAATGGTGAAATAATATACGTTTAGTACAACAGTGAACATGCTAGTAGCTGGTAAATGTAGGCACGCAAATGTTTTTTTGGTAAATCACTTCTTCAGAAATTGATTTCTAATGTTTGAGTATTTTACTATGCACATTTGCACACATTTATTATGTAATAAAATGTTAAGTAAGTTTAACAAAAACTTACAGTTCTATATCATTATTTATTTATTTATATATAATCTTTTGCAAAACACACGGGCACTTTAAATTTTTTTCTCTACTTGAATAAATATTTCAAGAAAGAGGTTTAATTAGCTTGACGATATATTGGAAGCATCTGGGCATATTTTTTTACGTTCCAAATTTGAAATAAACAAAATAAACAAAAGTAAAAACGGTTTGTTTCACTTACTACAAAAATTTTATAACTTTTTGGATGCATATTAAATAATGAATTCTTTCTTTTTACATTAAATATCACTTTCTGATACGATTGATGGAACCTTAAGTTTTCGAGCGGCTAATTGTGAGTCGCTTTACTGTCCAGAAGACTTGGCAACGGTATCAGGAGACCGGTTCGGTCAAAAGAAGACTCGGTTCGGGAATATAACGATGCATAGGACCAAGAGATCCCCGCATTTTGGTGAGTCAGGCGTTGCGAAATCGTAAGGCGTTAAGTGTGGACTTGAAGAAGAGCCTAGAAGAAGTAAGAGGAGTAGAAGTTGTAAAGCTGTGGACGGTCAGGAAGAGGCTTTTAGCTGCCAAAATTAGGAGTTACCACCCAGCCCTAAATTACTCCGCGAGCACCGTGTTGCTCGACTTCAGTTTGCTCGAAACTGTGCTTCATGGAGTCTTGAGGGCTGGAATAGTTTTATGTTCTGATGAAGCCTTTGTGTGGAGAGGGGATCGACGCCGGCGAATGCTGCCAAGACCACGGGAACGCTATGCGCAAGTGTGTTTCGAAGAAATCTCTCCTTATGGCAGATGCCCCGTTATGTTTTAGGCAGCAATTAATTCTACGGAGTGTACAGAGTTACTTTTCATAGAAAATGGAACAATAAATGCACACTAGTACATAATCGAAGTCCTATTTCCACATGCACAACCCGCATTGACTGATCTTGAGGAAGATTTTATAAACGACAATGCTCGCCTGCAGTTCTGGCGACATGCAAGAAGTTGGGATACGAGCTCAATCCAATGGAGCATGTCTGGGATGTTCTAAACAGACGAGTAATTTCAGTAGAGTGGGCATGTATTCCTCAAAACGTTATTAAAAACATCGTGGAAAGCATTCCCAGAAGGATTCAAGCTGTGATTTTGAGAAGAAACTCGTTATTAGGTTATTTGAACTTTATTTAATTTAAATAAGTAAAAAAATCTTCGTCTTTATTGCCGACTTAATCTTAATCTTTGTATGTCGGTTTTACAGAATTAAGCAAAACTTAAAAACAAATTCCCAGAATTCACTTCATACGTTTTAATATATTATTTAAATTATAAATATACAGACTACGTCAGACAATTAAATTTCATTTAATTAACTGAAATCGACCTTAGAACGTTAATTAACTCTTATTTTACAACAATTATAATGCCTTGAATTTTATAATTTTCAAGTATTATAATATTATTGTTCGGCCCAAGGAGCAAAAATGGAGAACGAATGCTCAATCTCGCTCTCGAAAATAATTTAGCATTCATGAACAGTTTCTTCAAAAAAGTTACGGCGAAGAAGTGGACATGGATATCACCGGACGGACGCCACAAAAATGAAATCGACTACATCGGAACCAACAATAGGAAACCCTTCCAGAACGTTAGTGTATTAAATCAACTCAACTTCAACACCAATCATCGATTAGTAAGAGCCACCATAAAATGTATCGAACCAGAGAAAAGTAGAAATAAATACAACACAAAAACAAACCTAATGATAGTAAAACAAATCCCTGACAATGAAGTCAAAAACCAGATAGAAGGAAAATATATCAATGAAGTAAATGAAATACTTGGAACTCTAAGTCGCAATCCCCCAAAAACTAACAAGAAACAAATTGGAAAAGAAACTCAAAAGCTAATGGAAGAAAGAAAACAGCTCTTAAAACTTGGAAAAAACAAGCAAAATCTAAAATTGATATCAGAAGTAAGTAAGAAAATTAGTAACAATATTAAGAAAGAAAGAACCAAAAGAAGAATAGAAGCACTTAATTACCACATAACCAAGACAGGAGGAGTTAAAAAAGCTCTAAAAGAACTCGTAGAAACAAAACAATGGATACCGAACATTAAGAACTACGTAGGCAAACAACAGACAAAAAGAAAAGATATATTGAAAACTGCAACAGACTTCTATAGAAACCTCTACTCACTAGAGACTGATAATACCTCACAGAATTCAGTAAATCTTGAACAAGACGAAGAAGAGGTAGGTAGGTAGTAGGTACCACATCTCATTGTTTTTTCCTATATCACAGCAAATAGCACACAATGTCTCTTCTTCTGAATATTCTGACTCATCGTCGCAAAGATTCTCAACATCTTCGTCTTCAGACGTCTCCGTTTCATCCTCAAAAAGTTTCTTTTTAACTCTTGTTACATTTTCTTTTTTGTTCATTGCCTTCTTTAGTTTTTTTCCCTTTTCTGCTCTACTTTTTCTATTTTTGTTGATGGTTTCTCCCTTTCTCTTTGTACTGATTTCAGTTTTATTTTTTTTCTCTAAGCGTTTCTTCTCTTTCTCTTCAAATACTGCTTTCATTGGCGTGCTAGACAAAATTACTGAATGTTGTTTTTGTCTAGAAGTCTTATTTTTGTTAGTTATGTTAGGTAGTGGTCCAAGATGCTTTCGTAGTGGTGCGTTCTCTTTTTCTTGGCATTTTGATATCTAAAAAATAAAAATAATTTTGATAAGAATGTTGGGGTAATCAGAGCCTAATAAGCTCTAATTACCCGACTACCACCATCTTGAAATTTAATAAAATTAAATACTGCATCTAGCTTGTAACGAAATTATACGTAAAGATACTCAAAATTAATAACATTAATTATAAAATAAAAAAGGTTTGATTGTAACAAACAAATATCTTCATACATACCTGGCAATTTGAAATTTCGTATTTTTTATAAGCGCGGACTACAAAATTGACAAGCGTCCGGGGTCACATCACACGTGGCAGTGGCGAGTCGAGCGGCGCGGGGGGACACAAACGCAGTGTGCCGAAAGGGCCTAAGTGGCAACTGAGTAAATACGAGCTGTAGTTTAGTCTTTAGGCGCACCGCTCCCATTACCCTCTGGCTCCCATTACCCTCGGTTCCCCTACCTAAATTTCTCCTTTCAGAAACGGAGCATGCTATCAAAAGCCTAAAAAATGGAAAAGCGCCTGGACCAGATCACATAACTAATGAGATGATCAAAGTATCATCAGCAGCACCAGGGAACCTAAGAAAACTTACTGAACTATTCAACACCATACTAAAAACGGGATACATACCTTCTCAATGGACGAAGAACATAATTACACTGCTCCACAAAAAGGGTGACAGGAACACAATAGAAAACTATAGACCTATAAGCCTTATGTCCAACATGTATAAAGTTTTCTCCAAAATGATCCTGCGAAGAATAACGAAGGTAATGGATGAACAACAACCCATGGAACAAGCTGGATTCAGATCCGGATTCTCAACTGTAGATCATATACATGTTATAAAACAGCTAATACAAAAGTGCAAAGAATACGGAAAAGCACTATACATCGCTTTTGTAGACTACAGTAAAGCATTCGACTCTATAAAGCACGATTCCCTCTGGAGAGCCTTAATACAACAAGGTATACCAAAAAAATACATACGTATAATTAGAAATATATATACAAGTAGCACGGCTTATATCAAACTAGAGACAACGGGTGAAGAATTTCCTATAGCCAGGGGTGTGAGACAGGGCGATCCTTTGTCCCCTAAACTCTTCTCAGCCATTTTGGAGAGTTTATTTAGAAATTTGGAATGGGATAAGGTCGGCATAAACATAAACGGCAGACAACTGAACCACCTAAGATTCGCAGACGATTTAGTGATAATTTCAGATAACGCAAAGACGCTTCAAACTATGCTGCAACAGCTGACAGAAGCAAGCAAGATAGTTGGGCTTTCTATGAACAAATCTAAAACGAAAATAATGACAAATAGAGAAACTATTATGATACAAATAGGAGGAGATGCTATCGAATATGTAGACCACTACGTATATTTAGGGCAAATAATATCATTTCATGACCAAATGGATCTTGAGATAGAAAGAAGAGTGTCTAGCGCCTGGAAGAGATTTTGGTCACTCAAGGAAGTACTTAAAAGTAAAGCCTTCCCAATAGTAGCTAGAAAAAAGGTGTTCAATCTATGTATCCTACCATGTGTTACATACGGCTGCGAGACTTGGGCTTTATCTCAGAAACATCTTCTAAAGTTGAGAACATGCCAAAGAGGAATGGAAAGAAGCATGGTGGGTGTAACACTGAGACATCGAAAAAGAGCAGAAGAGATCAGATCAACGACCAAAGTAGAAGACATTATAAAGAAAATAAGGCAGTTGAAATGGCGCTGGACTGGGCACATGACGAGAGATAGCAGGTTGAAATGGACAAAAATAATTACAGAATGGCAACCACGTGATGGAAAAAGGAAAAGAGGAAGACCGACCAAGAGATGGGCAGACGATATTAAGATAATAGGAGGTACAACTTGGACAAGAAGAGCTAATAACAGAAAAGAATGGAAACAGCTGGAAGAGGCCTACGTGTCACAGGACACGCTGATTACAAAAAACGGTTCATATGATGCATTAGATTAAGTTTTATTTTATTTATGTGTTAGAATTAAGTGTTTTTTTATGTAACTTAAATAATTGTATGGGTGTCAGCAATAAAGGCTAATCAATAATATTATTGTAATGAATGTCGACGCTTCGGTGAACGGAGAAATTGTGAACAATCTGTGTTCCACCGTCTTATAAATATCTGTATTATAAATAAAAAAAAAGGGTGCGTGTACTTATGTACGCGCGTAAGAAGTTATACTTCTTTGGCATTATTAAAAATAGTTTTTGATTGCATGCAAATAATTAATTACAATTAAATAATCAAAGACTGGAAAAGGAGTCATTAAAGTCAATAAAGTTCAGTTTACATTTGAAAAATTAAATAAATAAATATTTATTATTATTCTCTTACATTAAACAAATAAAACCCTATTTATCTTTAAAACATTTTTATTTCATTATACTATTTATTTTTAAGTGACTCTAATGTCTTCATCAGGATTTCGGTTTGTAATTTTAAATTAATCATTACTTGGTTGTGCATCTACGAGGCTTCTCCAAAACTAAAACTACTACTTGCTTTCTGCAACAAATAAGAGAATATTAATTTAAGCTCTGTCCATGCAAAACTTAAAAATTGTATAATTCATATTATAAAATTTTTAACACATTTATATTAATATAATTATATAAATGTGTTAATAATATAATTTGTAGCACATGCTACAGACCTGGATAGCAACTTTCTTTTATTCTATTTAGAGATAGAGATAATTTAAATATAATACCGGTGTCTTCCTTGTAGGTTTCTTTTGAGTTGTTTGGGGATTCTTGTTGTTCAGTTCGACATGATTTTCTTTAACCTTTCTTTAATCCTACAAAATAATGAAATTGTTAAGTTATGTTGTCACTGTTGTGCACACCTTTGTTTGGCTTTTTAGTATTCAAGTTATGTCAAAACTGATTTATTACCTTGTCATTGTTGGTTTTATTTGCTTTTGGGATAGCAATTGTTTCCAAAATGATTTTATTTGTAATATCCTGAAATATATAAATAACATATATTAATTTAAGTATCATGGTGAGTGGTTCGCACTCAGGTATTAAGGTGTATTATACCCACTGTCCATTATAAGTGGGAATGGGCTCACATCTGGCTGGACAGAGTTTCGGTACTACAAGAGCAACAT